GGCCTTTAATTTTTTCTGGAGACATGCCACAGGTCCCCGAAGCCTGTGGAATAATCAGGGGCCTCTGTAAGGGGAGGCTTTCCTCAGTAGAGACAGGGAGATGCTTGGGTGCTGGAAGATAAGAGGAAAGATTAAGGAATTAATTAGGAAGAGAAGTTGTGCAGGCCACGTGCTAGGACATCGTTTTGGGGGCTGGGTGGCCTAGGAGCGAGGCATCCATGGGTGTCACTGTGGACGCACATCTGTCCATCTCGGGCCAGGGGCTGTAATGCTTGAGCTTGGCCAGTGAGGGCTAACCCAATGAAGTCACATTCAGTCCTACTGATGCCCACAACTGTCCCAACGACAGGGTGTCCTGGGCCCACTCAGCCAGAAGAAGCAGCGACCAAGGTCTTTCTGACCCCCCAACACAATAGACTGTTCCAGCCCCGGTCTCCTCATGGCTTCAAGGATGAATCCTGATTGGTCATCATTCTCCTTCAAAATCATCCTTTTCCAAGTGGTCCAGGCTGATTAGATGGAATTAGCTCCTGGGCTGAGAGAAAAGATTGTGACTGTGTCCCCAGAAACCATGTTCACTCCAGCCCTCAGGGCAGGCTGGGCTGGCACTGCTGCCCTTCACCCCCCAAGGCAGTGACCTGTGCTGCGTCTGAGTCATTCCATTGCTGTGGAACTTGGGGAAAATCCTTCAAATTCCCAAACCACCGAGGTCCCCACCTGTAAAATACGGGGTAACGCTTGCTGATCACCCCTGACTGACAGGACAAGTCTGTATTACCTTCTAATTTAACTTAAGATGTGTGAGGGTGCATTTTCATTTTAATGACTATTGATTTTAGCACATTTTCAGAAAAGTTGCACGCCACGGGTCTGCTTTCCTTCCTGATACATGAATCAACGAGTAGCTAAGGGAAGAGGTCGTGCTTTGACCTTGGCCTTAGGCAATCACAGGAAGCTGCAGGTGGTGGGTGGGTCTCTGGAAGGACGCCTGCCCCCACGAGTGGCCTGGCCACGGTCGCCTGAGGGAGAGACAGCAGCTTCCCTTCAGGGAAAAGATAAGTCTTGATGCCGAGGTTCCTTGTACACACTTGTCCCTTTTTTCCTTCCAAATCTCGGCCTGGTAGCCGTCTTATGACCAGATCTTGTATTTTTGTATCTTTTAGTTTGTTAGTGTCTGCTGCTTTGTGCGTCAGCCTAACTCTAGAGCATAAGAACGGTCTTTGATTTTGGATGAGGTGAAATTCTGCCGAGTATGGTCCTTAAGGACTCGGGGACTCGGCGGCCTTTTCCCTGTAGTCATCACGCCCCTCACCCCAGTCTCATGTTTCCACAGCACCCGTGAGTCCCTTGTAACCTGTGAACCTTCATGTATTTCTTTCACGTGTATCTCCCCCACGAGGTTGGGAGTCCTGTCAAGTCGGCTTGGCTTGCTCCTGTGTCTCTCAATTGTCACTTGGTCACTCTACACGTATTTGTGGAATAAAAGCCTGGATGAAACGTGTATGATTTACCTGTATCCAAGGACACTAGAGATTCCTGCTGGTCCTCCATCCATGGACACACACTCCGTACATTCCCTTGGCCTGTATAGCCTGCCTTGATGACAGATGGGCTATTATTACATTGTCATATAAGATAGTCTGAAATTTAAAAAAAGTACCTTCATGTATCCCTTTTATCTGGGAATCACACATCCTCCCTTGAGAAGCTAGAAGTCATATGAACTCATCTCTCCGCACCCCAGTTTGTTACACAGGGACCCCGCGGGGACCCCAACCCCACGTCATTCCCAGAAACACACGGCCTGCTCCTGAGAACAGCCCTGGTTCTCCGCTGTCCATGCCTTTCATGTAAATGGTCGGGGTCAGAGCGCCAGGCACAGGAAGCTTGAAAACCTCACCCCGTTTCCCTCTCAAGGGGGTGTGTTTGGCACCGTGTCAGTGGGCCTTGGTGCCTCTTGTATCTGAAAGAAGTTTGAATGTGCAGCCAGGTACGAGCCGGGGTGAGGAGATGTGTGTGCATGTGCGTGTCTGGTGGGGGGTGGGTCCGAGCTGGGTGCAGGGAAGTCTGCATCAGAGTGCCCGAAATCCAGCCAGTCCTGGGCTGTTCACAGAGGGCTTTCTTCTGACCTGATCTTTGGGCAAGATTAGCGGTGGGGCACTTTCTCTCAGTGTTGTCCTAACTGTCCAGCTTGAGTCAAGGCGTACCTTTGGTGGGGCACAAGGAACCCCCCCCCGGCCCCCTTCCTCTCCTCGTCATCAGCACCACCATCACCACCATCACCACCATCGCTGTCCACTGTGTCAATGAAACACTTTGTTTTCAAATAGCTTCCCATCCATTAACTCATTTTGGTCATGACAGAAACTTTAGGGGGTTGGCAGTGGGGATTAAATATGCCCATTTCAGAGACATGGAAACTGAGGGTCAGATGGGTAATGCTGCTTGTCCAGGACACAGAGGGAGGCCAGGATAAACCCACCTACCTTTCTGCCGACTGTCGTAAGGCAGACGTTTTCTTTGGGGAACAGGGAGGTTCAGAGTGGGCAGATGGGAGGGATCAGGACAGGCAAGACCTGGAAGAACCAAGGAGTTCAGGTTTTAAAACAGGGAGTCTCAGATCAGGCCTGCAGGAACCACGGGACGGAGCGGGCCACGTGCTCCCAAACTTAAGATTCCATCTGACTCCTGAAGGGCGCAGGAGTCCCCGCGAGGCTGTCACACGCATTCGAAAGATAAACGGGCTGCCGAATGCTTTTGCTATTTTTGCTGCGTTTGGAGCTGGTAGGTCTAAGTGGCAAGGTTAAGGCTTTCATACCTTCCAGGTACAGAATGACACTGGCCCAAGGAGATGAATATGGGTGCAATGGCAGCGGCACTCCTGGGAAGGGCGGCTTCTCTTCTCTAACTAACACGCAGCAGCCTTTCCAGGGCTGTGACTCATCTGTTCCAGGGAGGGAGGGGATAGAAAATTAAACATAATTTATGCTCTGCTCATTGAAATCCAATACAAAATTCAGTCTCCCGTGAGTGGCAATGCTTGAGTTCAGGGTGGAAGTGGTGTTAACCTGGCTCCATTTTAGCAGGTGGACTTAGCGTTTGCAGGTAGGAAGTAAAACCTTTGTCAAGTTCCCTACTGAAGGCAGGGCGTGGCTTAGCGGCTCACTCCCAGGTCACGGGCACCGGGCTAGAGCAGATACTGCAGGTGAGAGAACTAACACACGCCGAGTTTGCATTTCTTTTCAGAACCATGAACTTCCAACCGCATCACCACACAGACCTTTAAAATAACCGTCCCTAAGGCCTCGAGGTTTAGGCCTCTGCCCCATTTCTCCCGAGAATCTTAGCCAGAGTGTACAGATGCTCTACGGGGGGCTCCCCACTTTTGTTTCCCAGGTGAGAATGGCTTTTAACCATCCGCTAACCATAGAAAAGCAGGTTTGCTCATCATGTAAGTGAGGACACATACGTACTGGGTTTCTCTTTAAGCAGCACATAGGTCTTGATGTTCTGTGTTTATGGGGACAGGTCGGCAGCCAGGGAGGTGGGTGATGAAGACGCTGAGTCAACACGTGTCCACTCAGGATAGGAGAGACGAGGGGAGGTTAGAGTAACGGCCATTCTCAGCCGGTAGGAAATCATCATTAAAGCTTTCCCACAACCAGACGCTCCTTTCACCTCCTAAGTTATAAAGTCACCTCTGACCTAGTCTCCACTGAACTCCCCCCAAAAGGGACCATGTTCCCCCAAGGAAGCCATAAACCCTGGGCCCACTTCTCTTGGAAGTAATCCCCACAAACATAAGGAACGGGGTTGGGGGGGGTGAAAGGGCAAGGAAGACACAGGGAGACTTTCCTCCCCTGTGCTCAGTTCAGCTTCCACAAGAGTATTTCTGAGAGGACGCACGCCAGGGCCCCACCTAGAGATTCCGAAACGGGGCTCAGCAGGCTGCAGCTGGAAGAACCCCAGAGCCGACCGAGATGCGTACCTGGACCCACGCCTTGCTCTGCGGGTAAAACCGGGCCCCACCAGCCGCCCTCACTCGTCTCCTGAACAAGCACCACTGACTCACAGCCTTCTTCCCATCAGGTGCGCACGCGCCGTTTTATCTGTATCGCCTTTCGTTGGCAGTGAAGGCGTATATGTTGCCTTCAGCTCAACAACCACTTTCTCATCTGGAAAAAAATTATTTGTGAGGTTGTTCCTGAACCTGGTATCTCGGTCCCTTCCTCACCAGGACCGGTCAGGGCATGGAAGCCACTCCCTCTGTGCTACTTCCCAGGACCATCCGGCCCTGCACACAGAGCCCCTGGAACGTTCTCAAATCTGGTTGAGTCTTTCTGGCCATCCCAGAGAACGGGTACTCCCAGGGTCCACGCATCAGGGTGGGGTTGGAGGTGACAACACAAACACGCCATCAAACCCATGAATCAGGTTGCATTAAGCTTTATAACAACACAGTTTTCATTTAGCAGGAGAAATGACAGGTTAACAGCTGAACAGTTAGCTGCCCCCCACTCCTATTCCCAATGTTACGAGGCGACTCCTGGTTTTGGAGATCTGTGAAGAAGTGCTTTATGTCAAATGCTGCATTTCAATCGAATCAAACTAACGGGAAGGGACACTTCAGCCAGCAGCCCTTGATGGGGGTGTCCACACACAGCCCTTGCCTTCCCCCACCCCCATAAGCTGGATCTGACAAGTGGTGTCAGCCTTCTTGTCACTGCCCTAATACGTGCCATCTCTGAGTAGAGCAAACGAAGCATGTGATGACCACAAGGGGGAGACGGTGGAGCAAATAGAAGAATGGCGACCAACCCGTTCATTGTGTTGCTAAGGGTTAGTCTTAACCAAAGACATGCCAACTTTCTGGTCCTTGCCCCTCTGGGGACCCTAAGGGACAGAGCCCACCCCAAGAGCAAGTCTCAGAACCACGACGCTGGGGGAGAGGGTCTGCAGGTATGGAGGCCTCCCCGCAAGAGGACTGGCTTTCTTTTTTGGCTCCCAGAACTGGCATTCACCTTCCCCAAGCTCAGGGCTCTGAGCCCAGCTGCCGTCACGGTGCTCCGTGGGCAGCCCTGGGAGCCTGACCCTGACACGAGGGCGGCCGCTCCCTTCTCCACCTCCCAGGTTGCTCACGAAGAGAAAGGCCCAACCCTCCTTAACAGGAAGGCTTCCGGGGTGGGGGGTGGGGGGGTGTCTGCTTTTTTTGGTGAGGAACGTGCATGCCCCTCCCTTCATAAGATGAGAAGGGTGGGGGTCAAAGGTTGTGGGATGAGGCCTTTAAGAAAGGCTGGAGACGCCTCAGAGCGAGGACCCTGCCCCCATGAGTCCCGGAGTGCTCGGCCACAGTGAGCATTCTGGACAGGGGCCTGGGCCAGATACAGGGCTGGGAGCCGGGCTTCCCAAAGCGAAATGAAAGCCCCCAAAAGTAGGCCTTACTTCCTCTGTTTTCACTTAAACAAACATTCACGGCATGGTTTCTGACCTCCACAGCTATTTAATCCTGCCTTCAGACTCTGGTAACTAGTAGTAGAAGACAAGCGTCAGCCCTGGGTTCTGGTGGTCATCTGGTCAACCAGATGCTGCTGCCCAGGCAACCGGGTTCCTCCGGGAGGGCCCCTGGGACCCACCCCTTGGCCACAGCCCTGGAAGCAGCCCTGACTGGACAGAGGTGGAGATGACTGGGCACTCCAGCCAGGCGGAGGCTGCAGACCCTGGGGGTTCAGGGCTCCGGTGGGGGTCCCCTTGGCTACCCTCTGGCCTTCCCTCACATCTCCAGCCTCATTTGTCACCCTCTTCCTGCTCCCACTGGAAGTCCTGGCCAGTCATCTGGTAGAACATCATGTTGAAGGGCTTGTAGAACTTCCGCAGCCTGAGGATCACCTCCGGGTCGATGAGGGGGTGAGTCCGGCCCTTGCTCTTGCCCAGGCACCGGGGGGCGCTGCTGTCTTCCGGCTTCTTGAGGCACGGGAACCCCTTGGTCTTGTTGAAGTAGAAGTGCTTCTCGGTCACGACGCGCGTGAGGCCCAGGAAGTCCTGCACTTTGGCCATCTCTCCCGCGGGGTCCACGATGAGCCGCTCGCCGCTGACCAGGTGGATCTGCGCCAGGCGGAAGTAGCGCAGCCAGCTCTGCAGGTGCAGCGCGTAGATGCCGATGCGGATGGCGCTCCAGGACGCGTCGATCAGCCCCAGGGTCCGGTTTTTGAAGGCCAGCACCTCGAAGGTGGGGATGTCCGGCTTCTTGGACAGCGTCTGCGTGTAGTCGGAGATGGCGCGCGTCACCGGGTCGCGCACCACCACGATCAGCTTGGTGTCGCGGGACATGGAGTGGATGCGCTGGGGGGCCTCGTTGGTCACGAAGTAGCTGGGCGTCTTCTCCATGGTGATCTGCCCGTCCACGGTCTTGGGCATCACATTTCTGGAATCGGGAGGAAAAGGAAAGACAGCACTTATTCCCGTCCAGAATTTTTTTTTTTTTTTGCACAAAACGTGTGATATAAATAGCCTAGCAGGGAGCTCCCAAATAAAATTCGTCGATAAACACTTGGACGTGCTTTTTAANTCGGGAGGAAAAGGAAAGACAGCACTTATTCCCGTCCAGAATTTTTTTTTTTTTTGCACAAAACGTGTGATATAAATAGCCTAGCAGGGAGCTCCCAAATAAAATTCGTCGATAAACACTTGGACGTGCTTTTTAACCGTAAGTCCCTCCGGAGTTCTGATGGTAGTATTTTCAGAAAAGGCTGCATATGGCGCTCGCATCCGTGGCTGGGAACCTCACAGGCCGGGGTTGAAAACGGCTGCTCTGTCTCTTACCAGCTACTTCTATGCTAGAGAGGCTCGTAATTTCTCTATGTACTAGTTTTATAATCCCAGAAATGCAGATAATAGTGACACCTACTTCACACTGTAGTGCAAGGATTAAGGGAGGTAATGCTTGTAAGGAATTTAGCACAGAATCTGGCACGTGTAAGAGCTTAATCAATCAAAGATATTATTGTTGTTGCAGTGGCTTTCAGAAAATGTTTGCGCCCAGCAGAGCCTCAGAGATCAACTCGTCCACAGGCTGGCAAACTATTATATCACCCACCTTCAATTTTCATAATGCCTGCAGCTCAGAATGTTTTTAAATCTTTAAATGGTTGGGGGAAAACCATAATAATACTAATAATAACATTTTGTGATGCATGAATATTATATGGATGCAGATGTCAGTGCTCATAAGGAAACCTTCACTGGAACAGGGCCACACGTGTCCCTGTGTCAACCGTGCTCCCTTGCATCATGACAGTGGGGCTCAGTCATTGTGACAAGCCCATATGACCCACAAAGCCAAACACGTTTGCTCTCTGGCCCCTTGAGAGAAAGTCTGCCGATCCCTGACCTAGTCTGAGGGCCTCGTTATTCAAATGAGGACACTGAAGCCCAGGGACAGGGACTCAGACAGGCTTCATGACCTCAGCCAGCCGAATCACACCTGCGAGTCTTACTATCTTCATCTGTAAAATCCTGAAGTCTACCTCAAGCTCAGCTGAGGACAAAATGACACAAAGCATGAGAGCACCTAGCACAGGTTTGGTTCTACGAGTGGGACATCTCCTTTCCTTGCTCCCACGATTGCCCAGTGAGCCCGAGACAGACCCCACAGCAGGGCCCCTGTCTCTTGCTTTTCTTCCCAAGGTTGCTTCTCGAAACTCAGCCCTCCATCCGTGTTCACCATCAGAGTGGACTTGTCGTGTTTGGGAGCTTCAAGATATTATGGACTTGGATGCCGTTTGTCCCCCAACCCCAATGTGGCGGGTCACCTGGGATGACGTGGGGCTCCGGGTCCTGTTAGGCAGTCAATTTGCCACAGGCATCTGTACTCCGGCATTAACTGATGCTAAACCTGTGGGTACAGCAGACCACCTGCCACCAGGTGCTCCACTAGGTCTATTCACTTCCAAGCCTTGCACCAGAGTGGCACATTTAGGATTACACAGGACCTCTTTGTTTTGACGACATGCTTTTAAATGTTTGAGCTAATAAAACCTAATACAGGCGAAGATCCCTTAGTCTCCCCGACCATAATTACATTTATTTACTATCGCGTGTGCAGAGGAAGAATGACTTCTCTTTTATCTCTAATTCACATGCTCTGTCAATAATTAATTGCTCCTGGGTTTCGAGCTTTCTTGGGAAGCACTGCGATTAGGCGAGTGGTGTCTGCCTGGTGGGGAGTCACAGAGTTAGGTGTTGTGACAGTGCGATGGTCGGGCGGTGTGGAGTTTCCAGGTCAAAGTCATTGTGTTGGTGGAATCATGCTCATCTCGGACTAATGTATTCTTCAGAGTATTTTGAATGTCTTCATGCTTATGTGCCTGTCTGACTCTCACGAGATTAACTGTCTCTTTTGGAGGGGCAGGGCTAAGGACCACAGCCTCTGGGAGTCAGGCGGGCAGGATTTAGGAGTTGTCAATACCCATGTCCCTGATGGAGTGCCCCGATGGAGGCACTCAACCCACTTTGTGACTCAATTTTCTCATCCAAAAAATAGTTAATAAGAGTCTTCCCTTATAGGAGTCTAATGAAGATTAAGACGGTAATACAGGCAAATCGCTTAGAATAGTGGCCAATTAACGCCAGAATTCTTTAAACTTAAGGCAGGTACACAAGGTCACAGGCACAGCACTTCTTAGAGAAAAGCTGGGAAAAAATACTTACATTTGAGCAGATGGAAAAGCTGAAGCACTTGGGAACTAAGGAACTGATCTAGAAAGAAAGGATGTTCTCTGACTCAAGCCGACATCGCCAACCACGCTTCCTGAGCTGGAGGCTGGTGACCCATAAGGGAGCTGCTGTTAATTCTGCCGGAGTTCAAGGAACATGCTAAAATCCTACTTTGATTTCAATTGGACAAATAAATTCTCGTGGAATTTATGCCATCTTACGAAAACATTAAATAAATGTTGATGCAGAAACCGCCCGAAGGTCGATATTTTTACAAGGCCCTTTCCCGAGTTTTGTCCTGCAGATGTATTTATGCTTGTTGATTTTGTTGTATTTTTCTTCCGTGCAAGAGCAACTGCTAGGGTTCTCTTTTTATCCAGGTCTCTGCCATTCGCTTCTAGACTTCAGTGTTTGGCTTTCCATTAAGCCCCATTCAAATTCATCTCCTTCACTTCGGCTAATTGCTACAGTCTGTCAAGATCTCTGTGGCTCTGAGCCTTTTATCTGCAGCATCTGGGATGAGATGGTACCCAGCCTGTAAGCCAGTGTGTTGGGGAGAGGACAGTGTGCCTAGCTCAGTGCTCGGTGCAAGGGGTCAGAGAGGAGGGGGCTGAGGGGAGTCCCTAGGAAAGCAGAGGGGAGCAGAGCAGCCTAAGGGCTTTGAGCATCATGTTACAGATGAATTAAACCATGTCACCTAGGAGATCCTGCATGTGGGGACACCCGGTAAGACCATCTCACTCAGCCGAGGCACAGCTGCTGTGGCGTGGGTCACCCAGGGTTTTCTGCCAGTGAGAAGATATCCAGAGGCTGCTCGAAATCCATGAAGTGGCATTTGCTCAAAGTGCTTCTGACTCAGTTATAATCATGCCGCCGCTGGTTCCCTACATGGCAATATAACAGTGAACAGAACAGACGTGGCCCCTTCCTCCTCAGAGCTCCAGCCTGACATGCACACCGATCGATGCAGAGCTCTTTAGAGCATCACATACAAAGTGTGTTGTTCAACAGAGCAGGTCCCATCCCTGCTCCACGTCTGCAGGGACGACACGGCCTTGGTGCCTGAAGGCAGCTTCCAAGGTCTCGTGCGTGTGCAGAGGGCACGGCTGGCTTCTGAGCTCGCTGGCCAAGCGTAAGTAACTCAGTACCAGTGACGATGCCTAACAGCAGATGCTGGCAGACAGCAGGTGCCCATAAATGTCTGGTGAGTGAATCCTCACCTGGGCCCTCGACCCGGCAGCTATTTCTGCACCTCCCCCAGACTCCACCTTTCTGGAGCCTGGAGGAGGCAGCTCTCCTCCCGAGTAAGACCCACCTCTCCCGCTGCCTCCCTAGCCCCCCTTTCCCTCCTGTCTCCTGGCTTTAGGCAAGTTCTTCTCCCCCGGCTGTGACGTGACCCATGTTCTCACATCTCACTGTGTTTGAGGAACAGAAAGGAGAGCAGCCACACTGGAGGGGAGTGAACCCAGGGAGGAACTTAGAAAACAGGGCGTGTGGGCAGAGAACACATCACGACGCCCTTCTCAGCCAGGTAAAGACGCCGACTTCCCTCTCTGTGTGATCAAAGGCCCCTGAGGAATACAGAACCGGAGAACACACTACGATTTACATTTTAAGAGGCTTTTTCTAGCTGCTTTGCTGAGAACAGACAAGAGTGTGGCAAGAGCAGAAGGAAGAACACGCTGAGTGGCCCTTTCAGGACAGAGCGTTGGGGATGGCGGTGGTGTGGCCGCCGGTGCAGAGCCAACATGGTGAGAAGCGATCAGGATTGGATGCACTTTAAGTCGGGCCACAGTCCTTTCCGATGGGTGGATATACGCACGAGAGAGGTGTCAGGGTGACTCCGAGATGGTCGGCCTGAGCCCACAGATAACAGTGCAGTTTATTGGTTGGAGAACATTGGGAAAGCAGGTTTTGGGGAAGGTGCCACGTCCGCCTTTGGACTTGTCATATCAGGTGTCTGCTACACCCCCAAGTGCAGCTGTTGAGCGATGAGCTTGGTACAGGAGTGTGAAGTCCAAGGGCAACGGCGCTGGAGGGGGACCTTCACAGAGGAGTTCACAGAACCCCTGCCCGGAGAGGATGGGATCTGACTTTTGCCTGCTGTGGGAGTTCCCTGAACACAAAGGCATTTAGGGGCCAGGGATGCAAATGAGAATTCTTTTTAGTTCCATTACAAAGGTTTTCACGAACTTCCTTTAATCCCAGAGTCCTTGGTAACCACCTATAGTAGAGAGCTTAGAATACCTTCACGAGTTGCTTTGTTCCCGGGCTGGTCTCATAGGGCTGGTCTCAGTCCTGTGAAGCCTGGGCAATGCGTGTTCGCCTTAGTAATCCCAGTGCTGACACAGCACCTCCCACCAGTGGGTCCCCCATAGCTCTCCGCGGTGTGGATGCGTCCTGAATGACGCACACATGCAAATGATCCCGGAAAGGTCTGGAGGGCACGGTTCCTCTGAGGTTTGCCACACGCGGCGGGCACACGGCGTTTCCGAGTTCCATGCCTCCCCGTCTGAAAGACCATGTACTTCAGTGTGGACCATATGGTGAGAAAACACTGCATCTGGGCCTGGAACAGTTCGTTCACAGTGTCTGGGCGCTCAGCGCCGCCGTGACACCAGCCTCAACACAGTTCTGAGGCGAGAAGCATTCCGCAAGATCACACAGCTGCTCTCACGGCACCAAATGTTTATGAGACACAGTCCAACT